ATATTGCTGAGTAATAAAATCTTGGTTGTAAAAAATAAAACGAGGAGGTTAATATCAAGGGATGAAATTTCAGTGTATTTGATTACTCAGGATATTCAAGGAGATCATATTAATGACAGATCTATACTAGTTATCAAGGCCTTATTATGCTAGGCATCATGCCTAGTGCCTTATGCATATTCTCACAAGAAATTCTTACTACAATGCACACCATAAAATAGGTCCTACTATTATTATTCTCATGTTCCAGATGAGAACATTGAGGCACAAAGATGCACACTAGTTGGCTTCAGTTCACACAGATTGCGAAGCAAATGGCTTGTGGCCCTGATTGCTAGGTGTGGGAGACACTGGAAGTGTTGAGAGAGACTTGGAAACTCTGGCCCTGACAAGGTAAAAGGTGGGCTAAGCCCAAATTGTATTATTATATGCTGTTGTAATCAGAGATTCATTTTCATGAATTACAAGTTGTGAGTGGGATTTGTTTAACATTTTGCATCTTGGATTTTTATTTACTTATTATCCTTGTAAAACAATACAATATCACATTAGGCATCTAGGTACAATCCTGAGCAAGTTATTCAACTTCTCTGTAGAGAAGAGATAAAAATAGCACATAGGCTTTAGGGATGATGTAGGGGTTAAAAGGAAGAATAATAAGAAGCACTCAGTTAAATACCAAACCAAACCACTTGTCATAGAGCCGATTCTGACATGTGGCCACCTGATGTGTGTCAGAGTAGAACTGCTTCATGGCTGTGATCTTTCAAAAGTTGATCTTATGTTCAAGGCACCTCTGGGTGGATTTGAACCACCAGCCTTTGGGTTCACAGCCGGACACTCAATTGTTGCCATTGGCGGTGGTGCTGGTGCTAGCGAGTAGATTCCAACTCATAGCAACACCATGTGACAGAGTAGGATTGCACGGGGTTTTCTAGACTGAATTCTTTATGGGAATATTCCTCCCGCAGAACCACTCACTGGTTTGGTTCAAACTACTAACCTTCCAGTTAGCAGTGAGCACGCGACCATCCCCCACAGGGCTCCTGGAAAGCAGCACCCCGCGCTCCTGTACATGTGTACAGCAGGGACAAAGACTGGAGGAGGAAGAGCCTTTTTGTCGTTCACTTAAACATCAAAATATTTAAGAAGGGCGATCATTTCTGAAGTGAAACTTCTTTTCAATAGTATATGTGGATTTCAGAGTAGCTCTACTTAACTGTGAAAAAATAATACAACTATAAATTGAATTTCATATATATTAATGATTTATTAGCAAACTAAAAACCTACTGACATCGAATCAATTTCAACTCATGGGGACCTTCTCTAGGGTTTCTGAGCCTCAAATCCTTATGGGAGCAGAGCACCTCATCTTTCTCCCATGGACTGGCTTATGGGTTTCAACTGTGGACCTTAAGGTTAGCAGTTCTGGGCTTAACCACTGTGTCACCAGCAAAAATTATTTGGAGAGTAGCTGTTAAGATCAACCAGTAGTCCCCATCTCCAGCCAGTCCTGGGGTTTTGGGGCTCAGCTCATGGGGAGTCCCTCTGGGACATGGGGTTGCAGTGAATGGTGTGACCCTTTACTGAGCATGCCTACACAGTAGGGGATGCTAGGCTCCTCTAGGGTTTCCAATATGGGCGCCAGTAAATTTCTTCCTTTTGCTTAAAAAAAAAAAAAAGACCAACCAGTAAAGCCTGAGAGATGATTAGGATTAATAAAAATAATTAAAATAAAATAAATGTAAGTCTAATAAACCAGTATCTCCAAAATATACTGCTTAGTGGAAAGAGTAAGATGCAGCGTGGTGTGGGTTCTCTGTCCAGAGCTATGCTTTGAAAAGTAATTACTGTATATAAACTATCTCTTTTGGCGTAGTGGTTACAAGTTGGGCTGCAAAATGCAAGATCAGCAGTTCAAATCCACCGGCTGCTCTGCAGGAGACAGAGGAGGCTTTCTACTCCGACTGAAAAGAGTTACAGTCTCAGAAACCCATGAAGGCAGTTTCTGTTCTCCTATGGGTTCCCTCGGAGTGGAAATGGGCTCCATGGCAGTGAGGTTTGTTTTGTTTTCAGGTGATTTAAAATTCAAAATCTCGATTACCATCCAGTGGGTACAAAATACTGGTGTATTTTGCCTATAAACTGATTCGATTGTTTTCCTACCAAGAGGAGAACTGATTGGCTATTGTGGTGGAAGGAAATTTCATCATATGGCTTTTCTATCCATGTCTCTTTAACTCCTACCAAATCGATGGAACTATGCAAATAGGATGTGCGTACCAATAATAGAGAGGATTGGTCCATTTTAGTTACCACCCCACCCCACCCTACCCCAGATATAAGGAGGAACCATTTTTGAAGCAGGAGGAGAGAGAAACCCTAGGTTCATTGGAAGAAATCTCCTCCTGCCCCCACCCCCGCCCCCACCTGGTGCAGTATCTTCAAAGTGGCAGAGGCTAAGATCAGAGACCCCAGGCGGCACCAGGCAGAGGCTAGGAGACCATGAGCCAGAACAGAGGAGCAGCACTGAGACCATGCGACTGGGAGGCAGACGAACAGGCTGGGAGGCAGACGAACAGGCTGTGCTCTTGGCCCACAGAGGCAGAGGCCAGAGGGCCGTGTGACTGAGAGGCTGAGGCTGAGAGAGACTTGCTTCTAGCTGCGGAAGAGGAATTGCTGTGGATCAGCAATCGATCATCGTATCCTTACTCTCTACTAAGCCTGTCTGTGGTCACCTGTTCGCTCCCCGACTCAACCCCCCTAATTAGGAGTATTATCTGTGAATTCTGCAATGAATTAGAGAACTCAGCATCAAAGTACAGTGCCGTGGGAGGAATGGTTGGTACTAGAATACAGTAACTCCATCCTCGAAATAATCCGATAAAGGGAATAATATTAATAATCATATAAAGGCTAGATGAGGAAATGGAGGCCCAGAGAAATTCAGTAATTGTTGAAGATGAGACAGAAAACTGATCCCTGGTTTTTCCATTCCTCAAACTCCTTTGGATGGTGGCAGGGAATTAGCTTGCAGTGGAAAGCTAGGGAGGCTTCAATTGGAGGCTTGCGTTAGGCCCTCCCCCAGACTCTATGGGTGACTCATAGCAAGGGTGCTACCAGGCCGTTCAGGGAACTTGACAACCCACAGGCGACCATGACTTTGTCCAGCAGCCTGCGTCCAGCCTCTGGCACGGCAGCCTGTAGGTTAAAGAAAGGGCACTGGATGCAGGCTGCTGAGGAAAGTTTCATTGCTCATTAAGATGGGATGACCCTAGATGCACTGTCAAAATACATCACTGGCGTGAGAATGTACCTGAAGCCAGGCTTGCATTTTATTTTATATCTGGCCTTTAGGTGTGTTTTCAGGGTGGATACATTTATAGGACAAAGTTAAAGAGTTATCCTTCAAAGGCCATTCATTTTCAGAATGAGAAAGTGGAGAGAAGGAAACTTCTAGCAGGGTCAGTCAAGTTGAACAGATAGGATAACCTGGCAGAATCAGCTTGATCTTATCTTTGAGAAGCAAACAACAGTGCCCTGAGCCGAGAAGCCTGCTGCACCGCCTGTGATTTTGATGAAATGCATGATTAAACAGCCAACAATCACACTGAAACGGATGCACATTCTTTCCTGGTGATGCTGCGACATGAGTGGTTGTGTTCCACACTATCAGTCACTTTGGTCTTTCTCTCCCTCCCTCCCTCCCACACGATGAGAAAGAAGTCCTGTTCTTGCCCTTCTATTGCAGTGTTGAACGTATTATCATGTAGAACATATTGTCATACAACCTGATGACCCAAGTTATTCTTGGATTTCACCTCTTTCTCGAGGCTCAAAATGTATATTAGAATTTGGGGCATTTTATGTTTATTCAGAGTCTTGGAGGGGCACTAATGATTAAGCACTTGAGTACTAACCAAATGGTTGGTGTTCTGGTCTACTTTGGAAGAAAGTACTGGAGTTTTCTCAGGAAGATCCCACCACAGACCCCCGTAGAACACTGTGCGCTGCTCGGTAACACGTGGCGCCACCGGGAGTCAGAATCGAGTTTGGAGGATGTAGGTCCGTTTGTGTCAATCTTTGTGTAATTATTCTATACTTTGGATCACATGTTACTCAATGTTTTAAAAAGCTAACAGCTGCTAGGACAATCTATAGATACAAGATCTTTATACATTTTTATCATGTTTAACATTGAATAAACTCTAAGACAATTATATGAAAATCTGGCCCTGCACATAGCTCATGGATCCCAAATGTCAAGATATTAAATACTCTTAAATAAACAAGTGTTAAGTGCAAAAAAAAAAGTTTTAAAAAGGAACAATGTGCTACAGTTCTTAATTTAGGGATATGAAATCGAGGGCAGGAGCAGTGTTGTAGGTTATGTGTTGGTTTGCTCACCACAAGGTCCACAGTTTGAATCTACCAGCTGCTCTGTGGCAGAAAGAGGTGGCTCTCTGCTCCCAGAAAGATGTCCAGTCCCAGAAACCCCCCGGGGGGCAGTTCTACTCTGACCAAAAGGTCAGAATGAGTTGGAATCAATATGATGGCCATCGGCGTGTGATCCGAGGACAGAAGGGGAGCTCTACTCTCTCCCTTTCTCCGCCTCTGTGCTGAGGATGGCCACCTGCTATTCTTGCCATGCCGTCCCATGAGACTTTAGAATCGTCCCATTTTAAAGTGGATTCTAATGGAGACTAATGGTAATATACTCACCTACAACTGCAAGGGGAGACATTGGAGCATAGCCAAGCGGGGTCTATAAGGAGTTGCACATGTGAAGGTATTTACCTAGGCTGCCTAGCATGCCACGCATGTGACCAGTTTAAACATTTCCCATGATCTGATCAGTTGAACATGCGCTAGAAAACTGCTGGTTTCTTCCTTTGTTTTCATGCTTCGGTATTAAAGATGGACTCACATCTAAATATGTACTATTTGGGGGGAGGAGCAGATACAAAGACGGACAGAAAGAAAGGGAAGTTTTGTTACCTGGATCCCAATAGACAGGCATCTGTTTTTCTTGAAGTGGTCTTTCTTCCTGTCCTCCGTAGTCACGGTGGCTATGGTGGTGGTAGTGGTGACCGTGGCAGTGTTATTGCCCATATGTTGACTCGCCGGCCCATGGATCTGTGCATTTGCTGCTTCAATAGCGGCAGTGAGAGCCTTCATACTGTCCAGGCTCTCCGTGGAATTGCTGAGTCCAGACTGGCTGATGATGTCCCCCCGCTGGCCCTGTCCGTCCATGTAGGCATCCTGGGCAGATTCTGTGCTACTCTGGGCTGTGATAGAAATGAAAGGTTTCGTGGTAGTTCTAGGTGGGACTGGAGGTGGTGTCTTCTTATATGTTGTAATGCAAGATGACACTGGAAGACAGTGAAAACAAAGACACTGTGATTTTGGTGTGGGCCGCCACTTCTGGTGCTGTCATCGACATTCAGTGACGTCGGGGCACATGGAACAATAAGGCATTTAACATTCAAATGAAGCCACTGACAGATGAAGTGGAATTCCTGTAAGGGGGAAGATGTGGGCCTCCCGGGAGGTGGCCACAGGAGGTTGCTAACTAACTGCAGGGGCTGGATGTGCCAGGGGACTCGCTGTGCCAGGGGAGGAAGTCTGTCTCTGTAATCGTGGAGTCTTGGAGACTCTAAGGGGTAGTTCTAGTCTGTCGTGGAGGCTCACGGTAGGCTGGACTTGACGGCAATGGGATGAGGTGACCCACCACACACTTAAGGGCACACAGAGGGAGAACAACCACCTCTGGACCTGCGGTTTCTGGAATGGAAATCACCATGAATCAACATGAAAATACATGATTAGCCATCTGTGGAACTCTTCCCAGACAACGAGATGCCCTCAGAGATAATACATGCACAAACGTGGCTTCTCAGAAACACATGAAATATCGCTGAAGTTCAATAAGATATCCTATTAAAGGATGCTTCTGGTGGCTGGTAATAAACAACGAAAAAGAAGAAGAGAAATCAGAGTCGTGAACATGTCCGCTCTCGTTCTAAGAACAAGTGTGAGGTGCCTGGGGACAATGTGGCCAGAGGAGAGGACACAGGGTAGTTGCTAAGAGACCCTGTGGGATTCGCTTGTGTTAGTAATTGAGCCCGTTCTCCTCTCTCTCTCTCTCTCTTCATCCGCCTGCTTTTCTCTCTTATTCCCTTTTCTGGGTAGGTGCTCCCTACATACATTTTATTGTTGTTGTAAAAATGTAGATAACACAGCATGTGCCAATTCCACACTTTGGACACACAATTTCATGAGAGCAACGACATGCTAGTCACGTTGTTGCTATCACCACCCGTATCCTTTGGGCAAATTTCACATGGACTTTTGATCTGAAACTTCTGTTTCTTTCTGAACAGAACTACCCACTGAGAGGAAATGTAAAAATAAATTTCCCTCTGGTTTGTCAGTCAGTCTTCGCGTGATGGGTCTGCAGGAGGAGCCCGCTGCTCTCTGGAGGATTTTCAGTCGGGCCGGGCCCTACAGTAGCAGCTGAGGTTTCCCTAAGGGCGTGGGCAGCCTGGTAGCCCCTCTCTCCAGCCATCTGATTATAGCACCGGGCAACTTGAAAGAAATGCTACTCATTTGCTATCCATTTGAAGTGCAGGAAACTAAAGCTCAAAAGAGGTATTAACTTTCCAGGTGGGAACTCCTACCAGTAAAAGATTATTCCTTACCCAGTATTCTAGTGACGTTCTGGGTTAATCTTCCTGAAGAACAAGTCAAACTACAAAAGGACTTTTTGCACTTAAAGTTGGCATCACGGTTGTTACTTCAAATTCTCTTCGCTGGGCCACTTCATCCCAACTTGTCACCTTTGGTACTTGCTGCCACTCAGGTCACCTTGCTGAATCAGTATTTAAGACCTCTCTTGCAGCCACAAAAGAGAAACATGTGGTACAAGAGAGTCATAAGTAATAAACAAACATATTCTACTGTGCTGTCCTGTCACCCTGTGCCCTGTGATTTGGAGTGACTTTCTTAGCAGGGAGATGGAAGAGTCCATCCTGTCCCTCAAACTTAAAAATGATTCGAGAGCCATACGTATATTTTTACAAACAAGTGAAATCATCATTATCTAAACCAGGCGTCCTCAACTACGGCCTGCGGGCCACATGTGCCCCGCTGAGGACATTTATCCGGCCTGCTAGGTGTTTTTGCCCCATTTGCTTTTTTACTTCAAAAGAAGATATGTACAGTGTACATAGGAATTTGTTCATAGTTTTTTTTTTTAAACTATAGTCCGGCCCTCCAACGGGTCTGAGGGACAGTGCATTGGCCCCCTATTTAAAAAGTTGAAGGACCCCTGATCTAAATAATACCTTTCACAATTTTCCAGTTGTACTTCAGAGCTACATGTACGCACTGAAAGAGCCACATACTGCTTCCCAGCCCCAGTTTGCTGAAGCTAGAAATCAATTCCAATTCACAGTGACCGTGCAGGACAGGGTACAACTGCCCCTGTGGGCTTTCCAGATGATTGAAAACCTCATCTTTCTCCTGATGCGATGCTTTGATATTCTTGTGGGTCACATAAAATTATGATATTATAGAGACTCTAGAAGGGGGGGTCATATATAAATAGCATAAATGTAGTCACCTCTCAATTACCTGGGATAGTGATTGCCAGATTTCCTGATCCCAGGAAAACTTCCCTTCTAAGCTCCTAGCATGAAACACATCTTAACATCAACAAGCTGGCCAAGTGCTCACTTTTTCACGAAGAGGCCAAAGAGGTTATGCTAATCGTCAAGGTTTCAGGGTCAGCAAGGGACAGAGTCAGCTGCAGCATCACCTTCCTGCTGTGGAGCATGAAGCTCTTTCCACAAGGCCACAGGTAAGTCCCTGGTTGACTCCACTTACAAATAAACAGGTACAGTGTGGATGTTTTCTCTCACTCGGGTTAGTTTCATGCATCCTAACCAAATAGAAGAGATCCAACAGAATAGGCAAATTATCAACAAGATCCTTAATGTCAAGTGTAAGCAGAATTTGGTTGAAGAAAATTAAAAACTGGCTCGAACGGTACATTGGCACGGAGTTGTCCTGACTGAACACCTGTCTCCTGAGCATTCCTCACCTGAATCATGACCTCTCAATTTCCCTAATAAGCTCCATAATTGTGAGCATGATATGTAAGTTCTGAGTGGCTATTATAATGAATTATCGGACCCAGTGCTGTCGGAGGATGTTGGAGTCACAACAGGGAAAAACGGATGGAGGATGGAGGCATGTCTGCCATCTGCCATGTGACAATAGGATTTGGGAACTTGAAGAGGTCAGATGTGACCCCCAGGCTGTTGTTTTTAGCGTTCAACAATGTGGATTCATGTAAATAATGGGGATTCCTGAACTCGCATTATGCTCATGGGGAACCTGAACCTAGACTAAAAGGCAGTCATTTGAATGGAACAGGTTGCATTTAAAATCAAGACAGGTTGCATCAAGGTTGTATTATTATTATTATTATTATTATTATTTTGGCATACTAATTCAATCTGTATACTGAGCAAATAATCCAAGAAGCTGGACTTCAAGAAAGGGGAGCGTGGCATCAGGACCGGAGGAAGGCTTAGTAACAACCTGCGATGTGCAGAAGACACAGCCTTGCTTGCTGAAACGAAGGAGGACTCGAGGCACTTGCTGATGAAGATCCAATACTGCTGCGTTCAGTATGGGTTGCAATTCAATGTAAACAGCACAAAAGTGTTCCCAACTGGACCAATAGATAACAAGATAGACAGAGAACAGCCGGAAGGTGTCAAGGCTTTGACCTTGCTTGGCTCCCCAGTCAGCATGGTGGAGCAGGTTCTGACTCAGAGAGACCCTGCCCAGCAGAAGGAAGCTTTGTGTGAAGCAGCATCACAAAATAGCCAATTATTGCAGCCACTGCATTAATCCATCTTCCAAAGGCCTTTCCTCTTTTCCACTGACCTTACGTTGCATTTGGGTAAACCTGCTGCCTAAGACTGCTTTACAGCTACCAAGCAGATGATCCCTGTCCCGGCACTGCACAGTGGCATCAACTCTGGTGTTTTGGGTTTGGGTTCCTCCTGATAACAAACCAAAATCTGCAAGACCAGGTCAGTCCCTCCTCACTTCTAAGGAGCGTTCGGACTTTATTCTTCCAAGACAGGCTTGCTCATTGTTCTGTCAATCTGCGGTACTTTCAAGATTCTTTCCCAACACCTCCTTTTTCCGTATTCATGGACCAGCATTCACATGCATGTCAGATGCTTGAAAATACCCTGACGTGGCTTCGGGGACCTTTAGTCCTCACAGGGACATGTTTGCTCTTTAACACTTTAAAGAGGTCTAATACAGCAGATTTGTCCATTGTAACATATCATTTGATTTTTTAAAATTGCTGCTTCCATGAGTGAGCATTGTTTGTGGATTTAAGTAAAATGGAGTCCTTGAGATCTTCAATCTTTTCTCTGTTTCTCATGATGTGATTAATTGGTCCAGTGGTTAGGGCCCACCCCCAGCCGCCCGCCTTTTTGCTGAGATGTAATCTGTGTTGCAGGCTGTGGTGTTTGAGCTTCATAAGTAAATGCTGCAGGTTCTCTTTGTTTTCAGCAAGCAAGGCTGCGTCACCTGCACAACCAGTGAATGACTCTTCCTCCCGTCCTAACGCTGTGCTCTTTGACTTACAGCTCACCTGCCCCGGTTCTGTGCCCAGCGCACAGGTGAATAAATATGGTGCAAGGACACAACCCTGTCGACACCCTTCTGATTTTAAACCACACATTATCCTCTGGTTCTGTTCAAGCAACTGCCCGTTGGTCTCTTAGGACTTGTTCAGGAATGAAGTGCTCTGGAATTCCCCTTCTTTATAATAGTATCCATAATTTGTTATTATCCACATACTTGAATGCCTTTTGCAAAGCCAATATCCATATGCTCTTAGCAGTCATACCTCGCACTCCATAGCCTTTTGTGAATCTCATTTTAATTTCTGGCAGTTCTCTGTCGATATCCTGTTCCAACCATTTACAATTATTCTCAGCAAAATTGTACTTATGTGTATAATTACTGATATTCAATGATTTTCACATTGCGCTGAATCACCTTTCTTTACACATGGCACAAATGTGATCTCATCTGGCTGAGCACATCCGGGGCTGCATGTATTTGTCGGAACCGTTCACCCCCAAACTCCTTTAGTCTTTGGTTATTGAGATAGTTTGGTGTTTTTTTTTTTTTAATATGAGGAATTTTATTTTTTTTATTTCATTTTTGCTGACATACTATGAGGCAAAACAAAATTGACACCATACAAAATAACTTTATAAAATATCATTCACATCATGAGATAGTTTGGTTTTGTGTGATGGGAACAGCCAGG